CCGCCCCTCCTGCCTGACGGGCCAGTTACCCCCACCTCCATGCGCCCGCTCTCGCCTTCGCCCCTCCCTCCCCCTCCGTCCCCCACACTGAGCACACAGCCCGGGTCCCCCCACCTGCCCTCACCTTTCCCACACTCGGCACACAGGTACTCGCGGATGTTGTCATGCACGCGCATGTGCTCCTTCAGCATGTCCTTCCTGGCAAAGGACTTCCCACACTGCTCGCAGGCGTGGCTTTTCACACCTACAAACAAACAGATCAGACTCACAGCAGGAGATCCGCACCCACGGTCACCGCGTGACGGCAGTAACGGGAGAAGTGCGGGCCCCTGCCTGCAGCTGGAGCAGTGCCCGCTGAGCCCTCCTTCCCCGGTCTCCGCGGGGACCCAGAGAGGGGGAGCGGTGGCAAAGACGGACAGAGAAGCGCCGGCAGGGAGGCGAGATGACCGCCGGGCAGGAAGCAGCCCGGGCCCCTGCGTCCTCCCAGGCACGGCTACCTGTGTGGATAAGTTTGTGCCGCTCCAAGTTCCCGATGCTGTTGAAGATACGCCCGCAGATCTCGCATGGGTGGATGTACCTGAAACCAGGCACAGGCTCAGGACGTCCCGCACAGCCTCCCGTGGCCGTCAGCGGCTGAGTGCACCTGCCTGAGCGCCTCTATCAGCAGGTGGGGCATAAAAGGTGCTGGGCGGGGGACAAGGGACCCAGAGACTTCAGCCTCCATCTGGGCTGAATCGTCCCCCTCAAAATTCACACGTTGGTGTCCTGATTCCCAGCACTGCAGAATGCGACGGTGCTTGGAGATGGGCGTCTTCACAGAGGTGGCTAAGTTAAAAGTGAGGTCCTCACGACAGGCCCAAATCCAGTATGACTGGTGCCCTTATAAACAGGGACACAGAGACACGTACTGAGGGAGGGCCACGAGGACACAGGGAGAAGATGGCATCCACACGCCAAGGAGAGAGCGTGGGACAGACGCTCCCTCACGGTCACAGAAGGAAGCAGAAGATCCGCTGCATCTAGAACGTCCGGCCCTCAGCACTGAGACAATACATCCCTGCTGTTCAAGCTGCCCAGTCGGCAGCCCAAGCAGACTACTCAGCGCTAAGCAGGGCTGTTTGGACAGGCCTGACTTGCTTGGACACACAGCGCTGACTACGGGCTGTAGCCAGATGTGGGACCGACATTCACGAAACCTAATTAACTGCAGGGCAAAGGGGCTCTGGGCGTATGTAGGCAGGGCCTGCAACGCGGCCCACTGTGCCGGGGGTCCGGGAAGGCGTGCAAGCTGGGAGAGGCCTGATGACCCATGAAGGAGCGAGGCCAGTGCCTCCCCCAGACCCGCCCAGGGCCCCCGGAGGAGGGAGAACTTGCTCTACGCTCCGGACGGCTGATTTGGGCACCTGCCTCTCCGCACCACCCTAGCCCAGGGAGCCCCTGCCCGGGGCGGGGGGGCCTCACTTCTGCACGTTGGGGTCGGGCAGGTTCTCGCGGTGGATGACCATGTGGGCGTGGTAGGTGGCCTTCAGGGCAAAGCGCCGGTGGCAGGTGCTGCAGCCGTAGCCCTTCTCCTTGTGCACCTCCATGATGTGCTTCAGGTACTCCTTCCCGCGACCGAAGGTGAGCTGCGGACACGCACACTGCTCTCGTGCGCACGCAGCCCGGATCTCCGCGGCCAATGCTGCGCCGCCGCCACCCAGGCGCCCTGGACGCCGGGGAGAGCCCGCTTCCCAGCAGGAGAAGGGGGGACTCCCGAGAGCAGGGCCAGCGGTGGGCAAAATCACGAAGCGGGGGGAGCACAGGAAGCAGACTCCGGTCCTGCTGGAGGACCTCCTGGACACCCCCCAGCCAGCTTCCAGAAGCCCCCTCCTCTCTGCCCACCTGACCCCATCTCTCCCCCAAGGCTGAAGGCCCTGACAGGTGCACGGCCAGGTGCTGTGCCGAGCCCACAGGTGCGAACGCCCAGGGAGAACGCAGGGACCTGCTCGGCAGTGGTGAACCACAGCTCCCTGAGCAGTGAAGCCGTACGGCAAAAACTGCTGAAAACTCACCGCGCCCCCAGCCTCTAAGCA